TGTCTCATCAGTCGGTGATAAAACTTGTAATGTTTTTTTCTTCTTTTTTTTCTGCTGGTTTAATGGCTTCGTGTGTAGCACTTCAGCCAACTTTAGACAATGTTTAGTGTCCGTAGACATCGTGAGATCTCCATGCTCCAGGCTTTTCCAATTTTCAGGGAACTTGTAATGTTCGCTGTACGTCGCATTTCTGCAGAGAAAACGATAGGAGAAAATAATTAAATTGTCGGAAATTGATGGTAATTATCAACACCGGTAACTCTCGGTATCTTATCGTCATCTGGAGTTTTTTTCTTACACTGTTCTCGGCGATGGGCCTCTAGACGGGGTAACAGTCAAAGCATAACGAGGTATTTTTTCTTTTTAAAGTTTAACACAGAACATATTCAGTTTGTTAAAAAATCCCATAGTCAAAAGATGAATATTAAGAGGGGCTTGGATAACAAGTGGGAGTAGAGTAGTTTTCCCCATTACAACAAAGTCATGTTAAAAGTTTCAAAATTACACGAAGTCTTATGGCGGAAAAAAAGGTCAATCTCACTATAAGATGCTTAATAGTTGGATTTTAGCAGTGAAGTTTTCACCGAATATACTTTAAGACTAATTTCAGTCGAAATCATTACTACTTCATTTTTTCAAAAACTGCACTTTTTCCGCTTGTCTTCCTAGCCCCGCATGAGAGCCCCTCTCTATAGTTTCCCCAACTTAGAATTTTAGTAAATTCAAACTGCCCAAGTGCCAGCCCAAGATGCAGGGTTGCCACAGTCAGGGAAAACCGAGAAATCGTAAATGGAACCTAGAAAACGGTGAAATTACGAGAAAGAGTTAATTTTCTCAGGGTTTTATTCCTAATATGTCCGTTCTGAATGGCCGAGCCAGTCTGTCAGCATTACAAAATGATCCGAATCGTTTCCATTCAAAAAGAAGAAAGAAAGCAGGGGTGTGGCGTGTTTTCGATGTATCGATCGATCTGACATATTAACCTGTAGAAAAGAACCGATAAACAGGGTGTCCGCAATAATCACCTTAACAATCGATTCTTAACCACAACCTCAAATGCGGGGAAATATCGATAATCGATCATTCACGCCTCGTCACCGAAAGAAAGGCGTGAGCGCGAAAGGTCAGAGCTTTACCTGGCGGTCTCTGACCTTTGGTCAACAGGTCAACGAGTGACAGGTCAAAGATGAAAACGATGCGACAGCCACGCGTCGAACTCGCTGCGTAAATTCGTCGCTCCTTTGGCGTAAATGCGTATCTCGGTTTCCGCATGAGCCCCAGGAACTATTTATTTATATGGACACTAGGGCTCACATGGAAATTGAGTTACGCTCTTACGTCAGAGGAGCGACGAATTATTCTGCCGTGCTAAGGAAGAACGCCGTATGAACATTCAAGAGTTGCCAAATTTCCTTAGATAAAATGTTTATTTTTAAGAAAAAGTATGAATATTTTTCGTTGAAAGATTCAGACTTTTTAGATCAAATCAGGGTGTCTACAAGTTCGGAATTTCTGGAAAATCCGGAAATAGTACTGACTTTTTAAAGGCTGTCTGGAAGTACTAAAAGAGTGCGGAAATTCCGCAAGGAGGTCCGGAATTTTTTCATTTATGAGCGAGAAATTCAAATTTTTGAAATTTTTCGAACTTCGTCGAATGGAGGTACTAAATTTTTCTATTGACGAGGTACTGAATTTCTTGAGAAAGTACTAAAAAAGCACTGTAAAAGCACTGATTTTTGGCCAGCATGTTTTAGTAGACACCCTGCAAATTCAAACAAAATTATATGAGAAATTGGTTTACATACATTCGAAACTTTTCCTGAAAATTAGTGATTTGCCAGGGGAGATTTGACATCGCCTGAAGGCTCATACGGCGTTTTTCCTTAGTATTGTGAGCTGTTATCACGATTTAGGATATTTTCGAGTTTTGCTCCAACTGCTTGAAACCACGTATCTCGAGTAGCTTCACTTTCCGAGCATGCGCCACCACCGCACGCCGCGCCGGATTACATAATTATCCTTGCGTAACCAATCATCTCTCAAGGTATGATTTCCAACCGTCAGACTTAATTATAGCTTTTGAGCTTTTTTGCGAGTGACGCGCCGCGTGGAAACGACTTTGGCAGCCGCTGATGACTTTTCCAGTCGGGCGGGGTTCGCCAGTCGGCGCAACTCGGAAAAACTGTATTTCCGTCAGTTAAACGCACGCAAATCGATCGATCGAAAAAATCGATTTTAAGAATGGAATCAAATGTCGCAAAACAGTGTTGCCAACTTGGGAGGATCGCTCCGACAGCTAGGGTGAGGAAAATTGGGAAGATCCAGGGTATCACGAAAACCGGAATGTCCGGGACTGTGTTTTTTTTTTTCTCGAAACGTTGCAACGTTATCGCACTGTGTTCTTTTGTCAGAATAGTTATCGTAGATATTTTCTCTCTTCCCTCATTGAAGAAAATGTTGGCTTCCGTACTGCCGTGCTAAGGAAGAACGCCGTATGAGCCTTCAGACGTTGCCAAGTTTTTTTTCCATAAAAACCTAATTTACTGGGAAAATTAGGAATATTTTTTTCCAAAATTTTCTGGCAATTTTGTACACAATTTAATCTAAAACATCTGAAAATTTCAATGAAAAATATGCATAAATGTCGTCAAAAGTACATGTCTTACCATGGAAAATTTGGCAGCTGTCGAAGGTTCACACGGCGTTCTTCCTTAGCACGGCATCGCAGTCAAACACCTCTTAGGTCAAGCCTGAATTTAGCTAAAGTCGCCTGATTTCGCCATATCTAGTTCAAGGAACCGTCGGAGAATTTTATCATACATATAGGAGCAAATGTATTTGTAATGACTTTTTTGTAAAGCCTAGAAATGGTCTGCGAATTTTCACGTTTAGTGAAACAAGGTTAAATTACGGATTAGATGCAGAATCTTGAGATTTTATGAAACTTGTAATAATGTAAGGGTGAGCGAAACAAGGTAATGTGGGAGATTCGCAACCTCACACCTCTTGAATTCACATACGATTTTTGTTTTTCTCATGACAATATTGTTCCAGGAAATAAAATCCTCCGGAAAATCAGGGAATACGTCAGGAATCAGTGTTGTAAAAATCGAATGTGTTTTCTTTTTCCACTTTAAGACCATATTTTATTCATTAATTCGATTAGTTTTCATTGACGGTTTAGAATTACCAGAAAGATAGAAAGGATTCAATTAATTTGCTTCAAACTCGGGCAAAAATGTTCCCTCTCTTTGCCTCTCCCTCTTCCCCTCGTCCTTTATCTCCTATAAAATCTGAAAGTAAGTGAAAGGAAACCACTGATTTTCATCAGGAAGTTTTTCCTTGGAAATCAGGAAAACATCAGGGAATGGAAAAATCAAGAATTCCAAGACGCCTTGTTCTTATCTTCCCGTCTATTTGCTTTTCTTGCAAATACGTTTGTTCTTCAATTTGGCAATCTCGCAGCAAATCACCTACTTGGATTTGTTTCCGCAGACACCTCGAGGCAACGCAGATAAATCTGTGGCGCTTTCTGATAATCGTACATTTTTTTCGCATTTTTTTCTTCTGTTCAGTTTGAATATCGTGAATTTGTTCCTATTAGTCAATCATCTAACGTCTAGCAGATAATTATGTCCGTTCTCAGTTTTTTTTCACCTCAGCTTTTATAGCTTTTACTATTTGGAACTCGCTGTTCCGCAATGGAGCGTCGACAATAGACTTTTCTCGAAATTTCTGTCATAAAAGAACCGGTTTTGGTCGAGGTCACATCGCTGCATTTTCATCGTGAAGTTCATGTTGCATCTTGCCCTTTCCGGGTATGCTATGTGTTAAACTGAATTCGGATTATCGTTTCAAGTGCAGTACTAAAAAAATTGTCCAAAAACTTCTTTTTTTTTAACTTTAATGACCCATTCGTTTTAGTTAAAGAAAATTATTTCGGCTCAAATTTTTTATGGACGTAAAAGAAAACATTTTTGAATGAAAGGTTTTTTTTTTTCAAATAAACTTTTTATAATTCCGAGAAATGTAACTTTATTGTAATCAGTGATGAATTTGATAAATTATTTTGAGTTAAAAATATTTGTTTCTTCCAGCAAAATATGTCTTTATGTAATCAATCAGAAAACTTTTTAGGTCAAAACGTGTTTTTTTTTTTTTTAAATGTGAAATTTTTTGAATGTGAGGTAAATGAAACAAAGAATCATCTCATAAATAATTTCAACCATTTTTTCAGTGAAATGTGAATATTCCCAATATGCAATGACTCAATGTTTCCTCGAAATGATTCTGAATCGTTTTTGTCATAGTCAGGGAAGATGGAAAATCAGGCAAAATTATATTTCAAGATGAAATTAAATCAACTTAATTTGAGTATGTACCATAAAATGTTTGATGTATATGAAAGAAAAACCATGTCCTCGCCGCAGGGAAATGGATTTGTTTTAAAAGTTTTTTTTTTTTTTTTTTTTTTTTTTTTTTTTATGTAGCCCTCAGATCTCCAAATAATTTAACTACATTTTGCAATAAGGAGCCATAACCTCTTGATCATTTTGAAAACTTCGGATGGATTATCAGTCTCCCTTTGCAGTTAGGTGATTTTACGGATGAACCAGAAATTTTAGTTCCTTATTGCTAAAAGTCCAACTAGCTTTGAGTATTTTACAGCACAATGTCAACTAAACAAATGCTGATTTTGCTTTGATGGAGCTTCCACGTTGAACTGCAACTCTCATCAGTTCATTCACTTATTTGATTATAAATATTTGTAGTTGGTATTATTTATTTATTTACATTTATTTTACGTATGTGACCGTCAACGGGGCCAAACCATTATCGTCCACGAAAAACTCAAAACTGGATTTTTGATTCCTGACCCAACAGAATATTGAACTTCGAGGGTAATGGTGGTTATTTTCATTTAAATTTTTAGTAAGTACTGCAAAGGAACTATTTTTACGATACTAATCAATTTTTTTGTGCTTTTTGTTGTGTGCCAGAATGGAAGCGAAGGAGGTAGTAGCGGAAAACATCAACGATGACGCGCCTATGTTCGGTCTTGTTGACACCGTCCTATTGGCTGCCATCGTTGGTTTCGGTGCCTGGTACTTCTTCTTCAACAAAAAGTCAGAGACTACAAAAAAGACATATCAAATCCAGTAAGTACTGCTCAGACCTCTTTTGTTTCATTATAGAATGCTACAGTCTAAGGTGTGCAATGAACATTTTGTGTAGAGCTGAGCGACGAAAGTCCGTTTCAGTTTCGATGGCACCTTTTCAAAAACTGTTGGCGGCTGTGTTATTGTGGGGAAGTTTGTGGGGCGCTGAAGGGTTTTGATGACGGGTTTAAAAACAATTAAGTATCTTTGTGAGGTACACATATTTTACTGTCTGAAACTTTTTAGAGATACAGAAATCCAGGGTGAGTTCAATTTCAGTGGGACCGATTTCGGAATCATTTTTAAGTATCGGAATAAACAAAACTATACTTCCCACGCATTGTCGAAAAACGAATGTGAATTGGACCCAGGCTCCTGTTAAAGTTTTGCTTGATAGGTCAAGAAATAAAAAGCGTAAAGCACTCAGGAAAAAAAATGACTTGAATTCACCATCACGAATATTTCCCCTCAAATCAGTATTAAATGGCTCGAATCAAGCAAACCTCTGCTTCATACAAGCTTCTTTCCTCTTGATTCCAGCCTCTTTTCTGCTAGGTTCAAGGAAAATATCCTAACGGCGGCAAATTCAAGAACATTGCTGCTTAAGTCAAGTCACTTTTTTCAGTGTAATACATGAACGACCCTTTAATTATAGGTTCTTGCTATGAATCAACTTTTTAGCGCCGTTCAGCCTAGCCAAGACTGACGCCTCGGTTTTTCCGAGGAAATCCCCCTCCCTCCCTCCCACCCCCCATCCACGTGTATCAATTTTTCCCTGGATTTATGGGTGTGTCGTCAAAAAGGTGGCGTCCTTCCGGTTAGAGATTGCCACCAAAGTTCCGCGAAAGCTTTTCACTCGGACCTCGGTCAGTGCAACAGCCGGCTATTCGCATGAGATGTGACAACATGGCGCCGGCAGTTAAAGTCTAATAACGAGTAAAATGTTTGCATAGTGGATGTCCTTTGAGCAAAGAGCCCCGCAATGATGATGATGATGATCTGTGCACTCAAACGACTTGCAAGATCCTCTCGGGCCCTGTTGTCAAAATGTATCTAGGATTTTTCATTCTAATGGAACCCATGAAAATCCACCTTTCCAATTATTATTTAATATATTTTTAATCGATTCATTTCGCACACGAAATTCTTCACCGGCAGAACTTCACCGCCTCTAGGAACTGCAGAATTTTCAGTCCTATTATTCGTGCCATCCTGGAGTTAGATCAATTTGCCAGCACAACACAATCCAAAAGTGTAGAAACTATTCCGAAACATCAAAACGATTCTTTATTTTTATCCATCTTTCATTGCTATCCTTCGAAATAACAGAGAGAACTAAAGTATTAATGGAAGTCAGGAGAAAACCACAGATAAAAAAAGAAGAAGAAAAAAATCGATGAAAAATTGCGGCGCACTGAGGAAAAACGTTTGATTATGCAAGAACTGAATTATGGTTTATTTAGAACACCAAAAATTTTCGATGAGTTTCTGTAACTAGTATCTTTGGTTACCTGAACCGGAAAAGTTCGGCGTTCGATATGAACTAAACTTTTTATCTTTTTGCACCGGAAAAAATAAATCAAACTCCTCCGACACAAATTCTAAATGGCGGCGAAACGGTTACACCTTGATAATCAATGCCATAACCTGGAAAATCGGTAATAACTACGGATGTTTTTCGTCATTTTCTCCCAATGGAGAATTTGCTTGCAAATTTTTTATTGCTTCACCTGGAAGTGCTCAAAGAGCTAATTTTACAGTATTTTTTATAATTTTTTTCTGATGTGGGTAATAGTATAAAAATAGATTTTAAAGTGAGAAAATACACCCCCTAGTGAAGTCATCTTGTGGCATTTCCCATTTAAACACCTATATTTTAGAAGATTAGGTTATTTTCTCATATCTTTTCCAATAATTGTTTAATTCACGAACCAAGGGTATCCTCGTGTTCAGTTCACTCAGTGGTTTCCACTTAAACACAAAATTCATCAAATTTCAGACACCTGCAAATTCTCTGTTTGGTCATTTTTTGTGTGAAATTCAATTTTATTCTGCACGATCTGGCGGTTGTGTGCGTATGAGCGTCGCGGTGCCGGTGCTTCTAGATTCGACGCCTGCATGACACCTGACACCCGATGCGTCGCGTCGGTCGCCACCGCTTGCCCCCCCCCCCCCCCCACCCCCACTTGGTGGTTTCTCGATTAGTACTTCATAAACGGAAGTCAGTCAAAGGCCCTGAACCATTCATTCGATCGTTTACTTGCACTTTTACAGCCAGTGGCGTGGCGTGCTCTGCGATGTATCGAATGGTTTGCCATTTAAACCTATGAAAAAGGATCGATAGACAGTGTGTTCGTAACGAACATCTAATACTCGATTCTTTATCATGGATTCAAATGGGGAAGTATCGATAATCGATTGTTCACGCCACGCCACTGCGCACCCGCCATTCGTAGAATTGAAATCGAGAGTCGGGAAAAATGTCACAAGGAGGAGAAGGTGATTTTCCTCAGGACGACAAGTTCCGGAAAAGCTATTTTTTCATTTGGCTATGAATAATCCGAGAAATTTTCCTGTTTGAGGTCAAGAAAGTCGAAGAAAACTAGGCCACCGGAAAAAGTTGGGGAATTTTTGACTCCGGTTGTCTCAGTGGGATTAGGATTAGAGTATAGTGTCTGACGGTGCTAGCGGTTGCGTTAATTTTATTTTTCTGGTTTGTGAGGGGATTTTCACATTTTGGTGCTGAGTATTTTTCTTCTCCCTCTTTCGCTCCAGAAAGTCAAAAATTTTCAGCATACGGAATCAGGAATTGTTTTTGTTTTCTGCTCTCTGAAGTCAATTTTGACTGAAGTAATCAGGGATTTTTTTGATGTAGTCGGAGAATATCGGAAAAAAATCAGAGAAATTTGAAATATCACGAAACTTGTGAGCCCACTGTAGAATCTTGAAAATTTTTTTTGGTGGAACCAGCTGAAACCTCACAATTATCTTATTTTTTTCAACGTAGAAGAATCGTCGATTTTTCTCGCTATCGTGAGTCCCTGATGCTTCGTGATCAATCCGATAATGCGAATCTCTCTCACCGTTGAACATTAAAAAAATCCTTTTATCATTTTTTTTTTCTAAATTCGCGCTAAGGTCATCACGCTCTTACTGAGCAAAGCGAGAGCACTCTCAGTCCGGTAGATTGTACACGAGGTTGATACAACTTATAGCGCCCAACGCCTTGAATACAACTATTCGTGCTTAAGGGTCGTCCGTGAAGTATATACAGTGAATTGAAGGCGCCCCCGATTTTCTCGCGCGGTGCACTCTGAAAAACGCATGCACAGGAGCTTGTTCGGCTCTGTTTATAGTTTCTATTACCCGAGCTTGTTTAAATGTTTAATAAGCGAAATAGTCTTCAGAGCCAACTTCACTCCAGATCATCCTGAGATTTCTATCAGTATGCATGTATATAGTTTTATGAGACGTTCATTTTTTCTTTTGTGCCTAATATATGTAGTCATCTTTTCCACATGGCTTTTTTCGTCTGCACTGGAAGGCATATGAAAGGAGGGTTGCTGAATAACCTGCGATAAAACTTGATAATTCAAGAACAAACATTATTGTTTTATCCAGAAGTCAAGCACTTAATTGTTAAGCGAGTCATTTGCGTCTCATCAATTATCTGATGACTTACGGCGAAGGACGGGCCGTGTTTGTTCATTGCACATCCAAGTTCACTTATTGCCGGCAGTAAAAGCAGGCGGAAGCCATTGAGAATCCCCCACCCTGCTTTCTTGAGGTGGGTTGCCCAGGAAATTCCCTCATTCTACATTTTTCAGCTATTACTCAAATTAATCGTGGAAAAGCACCATTTGCTGGTACAATAATATGAGGCTAAGGCTAATCTTGCACCCAGAAAACAAAGAATTAGTGGTTATTAGATTGACTAGCCATGTATGAGCCTTGGAAAATCTATAATCGCGAGGACGACGCTAGGTACTATCTACGAGGCCCAGATACAATATACAATATACATGGTTAACATTATACTAGAAATCTGACACTGGTGACCATGATTGCCGGACTGTGTAAAAAATGGATATATTACATTGAGATAAACAGGGGTGTGTGCTGGGTTTTTAGCAAAATCTGGTAATAATGCTGGCCACCAGATTTCTTGGAGATCACGTCTAGCCAGACATTCTAATAGCCACTACAAGTACCGTTCTTTCAAATTCGCGCTCTCTGTCTTTGGATTATTTGAAAGGGCCATGGAGTACCTACAAATTGTTGTTCAGGTGGAAAATCCCCGAGTTTTGTAGGATCCATCAAATTTCTCCCAGAAAAATAGTGATTAAAGTTCTCAGCCGCTCAAATATCGAATCAGAAGTTTCCGTTTGGTAATCTGTTCATCCTCGCAGCAGTCGCAGCCCAAAGTGCACCGGTAATTTTATGAAAAGTAGACGTCATCCTTTGTTTGATTTCCTGTGTGGAAAGTAAATATAATTCAACTGCATCGGCAGAGATAATTTATTGACCCAGTGCACCTTATCAAAATATGCAGAGAGCACATATGGGAATAATGGCACTTAGTACTCTACTAGATAAGAGTGAACAGTCGCCATCTCGAGATCTCGCTAGTTTTTGTCCATACCCTTTTTTTTCTTCAGTTTTTTTCGTTTTGATCTATTTATTAGTTTTTACGTTTCTCGATTTTACTGATTAGCACTTTGAATCAGAATATCATTATTCTTTCCGGTAGCTTTTAGCAATCGTCAGCGTATCTCAGAGTTGAAAGTGCGAGACGATCTGTTTAGTTTTGAGGGTATCAGTTCGAAAAGTTGATAATAGTTTTCGTCAACATTAGTGGCATTCATAATCATTTTCGTCACTTTACAAACCTACCAACTTATACAAAGTATCTTTATTCCTCTCTGAATCAGGTGTGATATGAAGTTTTGCATTTTAATTTAATCTAGAAGCACTCGTAGTTTCAAGAAAAGAAGAAAGCTGGCAAATATTGTGCTCTTCTTTACCGTACTTATTTATGAAATCACTCGAAAAAGTGAAATATTCTCATCTTCGGATGGACCTATCTGCTAGGCAAAAATTGAGCATCACAGTACAAGTTCTTCAACAAAATGTTACGGAAGATATGGTGGACGCATTGAAAATTACCAAATAAAACTCCTAGGTGCGAGGAATCAATGTTTGTTGTCAATGTAATTAATAAAACAACCCTAATCGAATACCTAATCAATTTCCCTTTCCTCTGCAATGAAAAAACGAAATTCGAAAATTCGCGCGGCGTTATGCTGTAACGTAGCAGTAGTTCTGCTGGATAGTTTGTTCACGAATATGACTACCTCTTTTCGCGTCAGAACATTTTATATTTAGTCTCGGTTGAGGGATTTTTTGCGATCACGTGCTGAAAGCGAAAATGAAAATCCAGTTTTTGCCTTCGATTCCACTTGAAAAAGGCCGATTATTTAACGAATTGCGCATTTCATTAAGACCGATCACATGCTGTAATTGATTCTGTACTTTCCCTTTTTAGTGAATGCATGGACCTATTTGAACCATTTTCCCCTGTACACTTGAGCCGTCCAAAACCACTGAGTAGTTCTTCAAAATTCATCACCTTGAATTCGTTATTTTTCCGGTTCTGGAGAAATTGAACTATTATTATATTCAGCGGAAATTTTAGGTTTTTCTTTCCGGTCCTCATTATCTAAATTTGGAAGTATGCCGCTTTCAAGCAGCTAGCGGAGTTTTTCGTCGCAGTTAACTTTCCTCATCCCCCTTCTCCCTCTCTTTATCTATTAATTGAAGGAAGCCATTTGAACTCGCTCCAATGAAAATTATTTCTATCAGATTCTTGTAAACGGTCTTTTATAAAAACTTTAAATCCAATAATGAATTAATTCCGGAATGCATTTAACGCCACATTGTGTCCTCCCTGTCTTTCCTCCAGTGGTGCTACTACGGACCACCGTACTATACGGACACGGCAAGGAAACCCGCCGTCAAAGAATTTGAATTTGGCAAAGTTCCTCTGGGTAAAAAATTCACTTCCGAGAGAAGTTATGGATATTTCTCACCGGAAGCAGGCACATCATTACTTTCCGCATTCGATCCAATGATTACAAATACTATTCTCTAGAAAAACTCAAAAGAAAATATTTGCAAGTTCTCCGGCATCAAATGCATATTTTATCCTTGGAAATTTTGCAACGTCTTAATGTTCATGCGACGTTGTTGTTCTCTCTTATTTTGTAGTATACCTTTGAAGCGTAGGTATATGCATTTGATTATCCATACTCAGACTCCTCTTAATCGAAAAAAATGTAGAGTGAAATGGACCCGGTGAAGGGCATTAAATTCAGCTACATCTTATTATAACGTCATAAATGATCTTGTATCTCCTACGGCGAGCTCAAAGTCTCTCCGGATAATTTTAAGTACCTTATTTCCTCTCTTTTTATTTTAAACCTCGAAGGAAATCTCTTCTCTCGAACGGAGGAAAAGTTATGTGATTTTTTTCCACGGATAATGACCGGGAAACCTCGATTTTTACCGGATCTACTATACCCGCGCTACTTAATACTCGTTAAAAAGTTACCGACCTCTTTACTTCTTCCGAAACCAGTTTTTCCTCCTTGCGCGGGCCGAACGCCCATGATCGTGATATCAATGTAGGTACGGTCCATCGCGGCATGGAAAGCGAAGTACTTGAAATTTTTTTCGTACCCGCTCTTTGAAAATCCAGCACGCATCATCAATAGTTGAACCGGACGTCGTATAAAATGGGCAAATTTACCAAAATTACCAGCGGGTCGATTATTGAGCTTTATAGACAAAGAAGACATAAGGAGTATAGAGCGAGCCTATTGGTTGAAATGGGTGGTTCTCATAGACTAAATGGGTAAATGATGGACTAACTATGAGGTTCCTCGTGGGTTGCCGTTACTTAGTCTATTACCTACGTCCTTTGTCCATGGCAACCAGCCGCTTCCACCAATAGGATCCCTCCATATCCTTTTTGTCTTCTTTGTCTATTGCTTTGTCCATCAATTTCAAAAATCAGCCCGCTGATGTGGAAGCTCGTCTTCACTATGCGTTTTCGTGTTGGGGGCGGGCTGATTATTAAAATCGATGGACAAAGCAATAGACAAAAGAGTCCAAGAAAAAATGGACCTATCCTGTTTGTAGAAGCGGGTGGTTGGGATGGACACAGGAGGTAAGTTGTAAAGACAAACTATAACGGCAACCCATAGATAGTCCATCATTTTCTCCCTTACAATTAATTAGTATATAACAACCACCTGTTCCAAATAGTATAGCTCCATTTTCCGTTTGTCTTCTACGTCTATAGCTTTTGTTTATTAATTTCAATAATCAGCTCGATGCTGTCTTTAAGAAATACAGTTAACTACGTAATTCTCACTGGAAAAAAAAACACATTGGATCTAGAGTCCAGACTCTTAAAAACATCGACAAGAAAAAGTACTCTTAATTTAATCAGAATCTATAGCTTAAATCAAGAACTAAGCCTCTTAATTTAAGCGGATTTCGTTTTGATTCAAGCAAAAATCCGATTGAATCAAGAGTATTTTTTCTTGTCAATGTTTTCAAGAGTCTGGACTCTAGATCCAATGTGGTTTTATTTTCCAGTGCTTCAAATGAAATCTCCCGAAAATCATTGAAAATTTAACCGAAACTTCTCTCCCTCCTCCATCCTCAAATCATATCATGCAGTCGGAGTGCACACTTCCTTGTTTACTAGACGCAGAAACGGGATGCCGTGTCAGGTTCAGAAAATAGACGCAATAACAATGTAATATTTTACAAGGATCTGATTGTGCATTTTCGGTCAAAAATTTTGCTGATTTTTGCGTGTAGTCAGATGAAGAATCCTTAAAATTTTTAGTTATAGATGTCGCGGGCAATTCGCAATCGCCGGCAATTTACAAGCTGGTGGTGGATAAATATAGGAAATCATAAAATTCAAAAGTAAAAGAACGAGATTAGGTGCTGATTATGTTGCCTGTAATGTGAATAGACACTTTTACATCCTGAAAAACATGGCAGGAATATGCACACTTAGAAGAGCGTGTAGTGAACTCTGTGACATTAGTTGGATTGAGATCGGACAGGCAACTAAACTAACATCGTGACAAAACGTAGAGTATCACAAAAAATGAAGGCGCTTCAAGCCGAGCTCATACTTTTGAAGACCATAACCCTCAAAAATTGCATTATGCCGATGCGCATCATTGCGATTTATTGAAACAACGTGTGAACCGCTTGCAAATTGCCGGCGATTGCTAATTTCCTGCGACATAGACACCCAACAGTTTCTAATCGAAAATTACAATTTTGAGTGGAAATTTGGCAACGTTACGATTTAGTTATGGTCTTTCGTTCGGTAAACGACAATTTTAGATGCGTTCAACCTGATTTTCGGTGTGCTATTTCACATGGCGAAGACCTATGGTTGTATCTTTTCTGTGCATCAGTCTCATTAATCCGCAACTAGTTGTTCGAGCGAACTTATTAATTTTAATATTTTGAGAAGAAAATAACCAAACTGATGAACAAATGAGATTATAGACTCCTAACACTTGCTATCAGGTCTGTTGGTTGCGGCAATTAATTTTGAGGAAGTCAGTATTAATTACTGATTCCTCGCAATCAATTGCCCGAAAACTCCGGCGGATCAAAACCAGTTCTTTAGAGGCCGCGCACTAACTGCACTGTTGAGTTTTCGCACGTAAGCGTGTTAAACTTCTTGAGAAGATTGACGGAAATTTTTCCAAACAAATAAAGTTTTTTTTTTTTTTTTTTTTTTTTTTTTTTAACTCTGATGTGTGTAAATTTTGAAATCGATAACAAATTTAATTTTCTTTGATTCCCAAAAAAGGTCACTCAAGTTAAACAAATTACTAGTTTCACGCCTTGAGTCTCATGATTAATGATGTCACAAGCGTTTGAAATGAATCCTTCTGGCAATTAAATTGGCAAAAGACTGGCAATAGCATCGAAAAACTTCAGCAACGGTTTTCTCGAATTCCTCGTTTTTCGTCCCTGAACGAGCAATTTCTGTTGCTTGTCGCCCCCAACTCATTCACATTTTTTTCCACAATTTCTACAATTTTATACGATTTTTCTTTTTTTTTATTTAACGAAACATTGTTCTCACTCAACGCTTTTCTATACTTTTTTCTTTATAAAACAATGTTTCTTCACAATATTTTTTTTTTTATAATTTTTTTAATGAAACAACGTCCTTTCACAATTTTTGTTTTATATTTTTTTTTTTTTTTTTTTAATATTTACTATTATGTACAATGGCTATAATATCCTGTATTGGGATAGTTGCCAAAATAAAGTATATTAGAAAAAAAACAAAAATATTTTTTAATGAACAACTTAGTTTCAGAATGTTTTTTCATACATTTTTCTTCTTTTTCCTCTTTCTTTCTAATGAAACAGCGTTCTTCCATGATATTTTTCAGTGTATGTCTTGTTTTCTTACGTACCTATGTTTTGTTTGTTTCAGACCCACGACACTGAACACAACGACGACGAGCGAAGACAACTCGTTCATCAAGAAACTCAAAAGCTCCGGGCGGAGTCTGGTCGTGTTCTACGGTAGCCAGACGGGTACCGGAGAGGAGTTCGCCGGGCGGATAGCCAAAGAAGGTCGCAACTATGGTATGAAAGGCATGGTCGCCGATCCCGAAGAGTACGAAATGGTAAGGGTAAGTTAAGTATTGCATGACGCTTCCACCCTCTCCCACCCGCAGCATCTCCACCCAGGATTACAAATTGTTCAAGACCTCCGCATTTTTTCCACACTGAAAAAAAATTCTCGGCGTTTTTACCAAGGTCCGTTGGTACTTTTACCATCTCACTTTACTAACGAATTATTGGTAATTTTACCGAGACAGACTGGTAAGCTTACCTAAAAACCGGTATTTTTTACTGTTTTTTTTTTTCAGGTAAGAATACCACTTTCATTGGTAATCAATTCCCGGTAACTTTGCCATTTTATCTCGGTAATTCTACCACAGTCGATAAAAAATATTGGCGTTTCTACCAAGGTCCAGTAAAATTACCAAGAAAGTTCAATAATTTTACCGAGATTTCTCGGTAAAACTACCAATTCTATAAATGGTAATTTTACTAAGAAAAAACTGGAATCAAATAGAACCCTGAATTCTTAGTAATTTTACCCTTTTCTTAGTAAATACACCGAGATTTTTTTTCAGTGCAACGCGCTCGATTTTCGCCAAAAGGCGCACACAGCGCAATCATCAAAATTTTGATAAATCGGAAACTTTTTGGATCCGTGCAATGTCGTACGATTCCATCCGGGTTGAAAATTTGAAAATCTTCGAACAAAAAGAAAAAACAAAAACTCTCACCCTCCAAAATTGTCAGGGCAATCAGGGTGTCTACAAGTCCGGAATTTCCGGAAAATCCAGAAAAAGAACTGATTTTTTAAGGGCGGTCCGGAAGTACTGAAAAAGTGCGGAAATTCCGCAAGAAGGTCCGGAATTTTTTGTCACTTTTGACCTAATTTGGACGAGAAATTCAAATTTTTGAAATTTTTCGGATTTCGTCAATCGGAGATATTGATAAAGTACTGAATTCTTCTAATGAAGAGGTACTGAATTTCTTGGGAATGTATTGAAAAAGTACTGTAAAAGTACTGATTGTTGGCTAGCCTGTTTTAGTAGACACTCTGGCAATACTACAATTTAGTCGCGGTCGCGCGCTTGAGAACAATTTGCACCCCTGTCTCATTTCTCTCTTCTTCTATTGCGTATGCGAAGTATTTTGTGGACTCACTACCTGTGCTGGCACAACTCTAACATAAGCAGATAACTGTAAAAATATAAATTAAAATGATAAAGTAAGGGAAATACCTATTGCACGCAGGGTGTCTAGAACGGAAAAACCCGCCAGGAAATTCGCTTTCGTCAGTAAAAACGAACATCTACTGTGATGAACGTGACTCATTAAGATCCGTGTTTCGCGATTTGCATCGTAGCTAATTGAGATCGTATATTGAATACTGCTCGCTCTATAAAATAACGCACCGAAAAACGTGGTCTAAAAAAGTTTGATTTGATATTATAACAATTAGCTCACATTATAGGAAATTTTTGTCGGGCTTAAAAAATTCCTCTTGATTCAAAGGAAAATTTCTTTTACATTGAATAATAGAATACTCTAAAAATTTTAATTTCAGCATATTATTCAGAATTAAATTGGTTAGAGGAAAATACTTTTTTCTTTAAATCAAACATTCATTTTTATCTCATCAACAAAATAAGTCTTTTAAACCATTTTTCCAATGCAGACAGTCTGAAAACTGAGGTTAATATGAAAATGAATAAAAATGGCTCACGCAGAGTGTCTGGTACGAGTATAAATCGAGAAATCTTTGAAAGTTCGGAATGTATGCTTTTTCCAGCAAAAAATCAGGGAAATCGAACGTCAGTCAATTGTATGAAATCCGTGCTAAGCGGGTTGCATCGTAGCCCCCTTAATTAGACGCTCCAGCGGTCGAGCTGATGTATCAAACAATGCAATGTATCAATGTGCGATGTATCAAACAAGCGAATCGTGATGTCATCTTTCGCATCACGTACCGCGACGCGGTACTTTTGCTTGTGCAATAATTAGAATCACTCAAGTGCGGACAACTGCGTCTTCTACTTGAGTACTTCAACTGCATGTATACTTCCATCAAAAATGTCAAGAAATTCAAGAATGGATTTGTTCTATAGACACCGCGACACTTCTCACGAACAAAATTCATTTTGTAAGTGTTCACGGAAAGAATGGAATGAAAAGATAAAAAAAAGGATATAGAGGACATTATATAAATTGTTTTTTTCCGAATGAAATTTTACAGCGTGTAGGAATCGCTTTTACTGTGCTAATCACTTACGACATCAAAGAAGTTGAAAGAGGAGGTTTGAGTTTTGGATTACAATGAGTTTGTACGAATGCACGGCGAAAAATATAATTATTTATCAAACTTTATTTTCCGGTCGAGATTTTGACGTAGACCAAAATATAAGCATACAGTAAAGTTAAACAGTTCTTTTTAGTCCATTCCACGCGTGAGAACTAGACGGTCCAACTCTATTTGTGACCGGCTTTGTGGAAAAGGACCCTATCTTCCGAAAGAAAGTTTAAAAATTTCAATGAATTTTCAACCGTAGAGCCTCAAAATTGGTGGAGATGTGAGATCTGAAGTTCCAAATCAAAAATTTAATGGTTGTAGCAAAACGTGGTTTAAGCTTTTGAAAAAAGCTACGAAAAATTTTCTCTCGAAAGAAAGGGTCCCTCCTGACAGATCCGATTACATTTTACATTTGCACCAGAACCAGCAAAGAATACAGCAAAATCGCTCATAATTAATTTTTGGGTGGTGGTGCAGGCTGATTTTTCCGTGCAGAATTGGCTCCCACGTTTCGTGCTCTGTTCCCAAATCATTTGGATCATTTGTGGCGTGGCGTGAATAATCGATTATCGATATCTCGCCATTTGAAGCTATGGTAAAGAATCGATTACTTAGGTGTTCGCTGCGAACACCCTGATAATCGATCTTTTTTCATAGGTTTAAATGACACCACAATCGATATATCGCAATTCACGCCTCGCCAAAATGTCTCCGCATTCCGATCCGTTGAAAACGTTTTGTTTAATACATTACATAATACCGTAGTTCCCCATCCCGAACTTGTTTTCCCAACGTGAATATCGCATATTCCAGTTCCCTTGTGAGGTGACTGGGAGAACGGTTTCTCATCGGAATGACGCATGTTATGTAGAGCGACGAAATTACAATTTATTTACGTCAAACAACGAATGATGAGCTTTCATTCGACTGTTGTTCGTCCAGGTTGAATCTCTTAGAATTCTCGAATCTAAAATCGATAAATTAGAGGTACTTATTTGTCGGAAAACGATTTGGAAACCATTTTATGGAAATTAGATGTATTTTTGATCGATGTGTCAAATATTGATCCACGAAATGAGAGGATCACGGAGTACGGAAGAGTAGACCTTTCTATAAGTCAGTTTTTGATCAATCGTCTCTTGGTATGATTTTGGCATCTAGTATGCACTGGAAAAAAAACAAATTGGATCTAGAGTCCAGACTCTTAAAAATATCGGCAAGAAAAAATACTCATGATTCAATCAGATTTAAGCTTAAATCAAGAACGAAGCCTCTTAATTTGAGCGGATTTCCTTTTGATTTAAGCTTAGATCTGATTGAATCAAGAGTCCTTTTTTTGTCAATGTTTTCAAGAGTCTTGACTCTAGATCCAATGTGTTTTTTTTACCAGTGTGTCTAAAAAATCATGTCGGCCAGAGGTTCCTAAAATTTCTTGACCTATATTTAAAAAGTCCTTCCTTAAAAAAAAAAAAATAATAATAAATATAATAATGAAACAGCAGGTGGAGTTTATACTGCTGATATTCTTTGAAACCATGGTCTCTGTGGCTCATTATTCTTATTAATATCATATTCCATCAAGAAAATTATTGTCTAACCGATTAGGATACCTACTCTAGTGAGTTAAGTAACCGCTAAATTCTTAAGAAGACCGAATATCACCGCGTCTCGACTTATAAGGATATATGCCATGAGCTCTCGCCTCAGCTTTGCGTCTAATAATTTCAGAACAGGAACGGTTTCATTTTCCAAGAACTTCATCCGGATTTTGCAAAGTGTTCAAAGCTTTTATTTGGACTTTTATTCTTGCGGATTTTCTCAAATCCTTGTCCGGGTTTTAGGTCAACAATCTAATCTAAGTCTTGATAGCATTGTTGCCAGATAGTATAGGCTGAAAAATCAGTACTTTTCCCTAATTTTAACCCTTATCAAATGTCCACATCTTACCGCCTAACCCGGCAACCTTGCTCGATCGATTTCCCAATTTTTCGACATACTTTTAGTTTAGATGGCACTCATTTCTCATGAGATGGAACGTTCCTCATCTATGCAGAGTAGGAAATTTGGATATAAGTAAAGGAAAATATATTTATCCATAAATGTCTGGAAAAACGGAGAATTGTCAAACATTTTCATGAAAAATAAGCGCATCATTTTATTGGTCCAACAATCTTAACCTTACAATTTTCCATCGGTGTAGGATCTCTGGAAAAATCATACTGAATGAAAACTCTTTCTACTATTCTTGCTTCGAACGCAGTGGAGTAACTTGAAGGGGTCTGGATCACCCTCCTCCCACTATTTGAAAATTCTCCCCTATTAACGTCATTTTACGTGATTTTTTGGAATTTTTCATCGTCGGATTCCCCTTTCCCGTGTCAAGAATTTTGTGACCGTGGACCGCGCACCATGAAGAATTTCTCGGTACGCGAATTATGTTTGAATGTAAACGCAAGAATAGAAAAGTCACAGAACAACATCCATAAAAACTCAGAAAAAAGGAATTTCAAATAAATTTATCGAATAAATTACCCCCCTTTAATACTCGTCCGTAAATATTTGACCAATAAGCAGAGTCTCGTCCTCTGAATCAAGGGAAATCTGGAATAGTCAAAAAAATTGTCCCCACAAATGTTAGAGCACCCTGAATTCAAGTCTTCTTTCCAATGCTTTGTCTCCCGGTTGTCAATGGTAAACACCTGATGAGTTCAAATACCTCCCTCTACGAATAAAAATAGTTCTAAATTCCACACCTGTATTTCACATTTTTACGTGTATCTTTATTCTATAATTACATTTTGTACCTCATCTTACTCGACGAGTTTAATATTGAGACGAAGAATCCGTAATCTTAAGTGGTATGGTCTCTTTAAAGTCCATATGAAGACCCCCACTTCAGTAGCGATTCAAGCATCAGTTTCCTCCCACTTATCGAAAACGCACTCTCAATAATGAAAGAAATTTAGTTTTTACCGGTTGGTATCAAAGAAAATTCCCATCACGTTTTGCAACTATGGTCGTCATCAACCCGTTTGACGTATTAAATAATAATTAGCAAAATTCCTCTCAACCTCAGCTTTTCTTCTATCAACAAACAAAGCTTGCTAATCACTTCTACAAGATCTTCTTCGTGACGTAAAATTCCTAGATCCCTGCTCTCTTAGACAGTTTTGGCTATTATGTTGGTCAATGAAGGTATATCGTAACTTGGCAAATGTTTTTTTCTCCATTTCGATAACCAAAGTGCCAAACCACGTATCTCCATTGCGATGTTTCAAAATTACCGCCCCTATTTTATTTTTCGAAGAGAAACAAGTCAACTTCATGACTTGAAAATACAGAATATTCTGCTCACAAAGAAGAAAAAACAATGCAGTTTCAAGAAATTACGTTGACTAGTTTTCCAAAGAAAAAATAAATTCTGACAGAAAGTCTGCGACGTTGCAATTCCGGATGGTTCCCGGGGCTCTATCGGTCCCCTATAATAGGATTATTTTGGAAACATTGACCATTTGACAACATGTTCGCTGTCAGCATATGACCACCGGTACGAGGAAAGTCCTTTTTTCCCGGTTTCGCGAAAGCTTCGCCAATTTCCCGCCATCTCCGCAAGCGGCGATGCCCTCTAAATAATTTCGACGTCACGATCTCTTCGATGCTCCGTCTGCAGAAGTGAAGATTTTTAATTAAGTATCGATCAAAAAAACCTCAGAGACTCCCCCCAGTGATTTACGTGAAATCCGGTGCTTAGCGTTTTTGCCGCAATTATCGTGCCAATGCTTTGCAGCTCATCATGATTTACTTTTTTGCCTCGCGGAACATAGAGCTGGGGTTTCCTCCTCATTTGCAGTGGCGTGCTTTGCGATAACTCGGATGATCTGCCATTTAAACCTGTGAAAAAGGATCGATATAGACAAGGTGTTCACAACCAGCATCGTAATAATCGATTCTTTACCATAGTTTCAAATGGGGAAATATCGATAATCGATCTTTCACGGTTCGCCGCTGCTCATTTGTTATTTTTCGTTCAATTCAGAACTTGTTGATCGGATCTTATGAATGAACTGTGTCCATGATGAAATGCCACGGTTGGCATCAGAACTTGTTGATCGGATCTGATGAATGAACTGTGTCCATGATGAAATGCTTACAGTTGGGAGATGCTTCGAATTAGAACATATTCAAATTATACACTGAAATACTTCTGAAAAAAGAAGAAACAAAAACACACAGTAAAAAACCTCCAGCGCCAAAGTGAGGAGTCAATACTCTCGGTGGATGTACCTTTTTCCGAATGAACGAAATAAAACTGATTTTAAAAAAACCATAAAAAAGGGAAAAAATGACAGTAAGCACGTATGATTTTATCTGGCGCCCGAATAACTTCAAGCTAACAGGCACCGGATGTAAAATTAGAATAAAAAAATTAATTTAAAAAAGAAAAAAACGAACTGAAAAAGAAGGTACAAATACAATTGAAGCGCCAGTCATCGCGTTAACTCGGTCAAATATTTACATGAGAGGGGAAATCACATTTGAAGGTCGAACAGTAAGACAATTAACATATGTATCCTGAAACCTACGCGCAAATCATCACCTTTACTTTCAACTAAACAATGCAATTTTCCTCTCTCTTTCGTGCAGCGTATCATGCAACGTACTTTTTGTATACATTTGCTTTGAGCCTGACTCTATCAACACAGCGTTTCTTGGTCTATCTCTTTTTCTCAACCCTTCCTCGTTTTTCTCTTTTCCTCCTTCTTATTCTCAACATCAAAGTCGAAATTTTCCGAAAAAGATATCAAATCTTTATTTTTTGCATGCAAATCGTAATGGAGACGTAATATAAAATTTGCACATTAGGTGCACTACATTGATGCATGTATGCATGAAAAAATAATGGTAGTAAGTAATCAGTAGTGGCATTGTTTGCATTTGTTTAGCATATTTACATGAAGTCGCCAGTGAATGAAGGATAAGTAACGTTTTTTTTTTAAAAAAATCATTTAATGGATTTAAGCAATATGACCATAGGTACACAGAGTTTTAAGTGAAGACTTATGTGCGATTAGTAACTTTCTTGCGCTTTTTTGAAATCTTAGAAATGTTACCTATCCTTTTTATTCACCAAAAGTTCCATGTTTCAGTTATTCTCTCCTCACGTTTGGTTAATTTCATGATATTTTGCAGGAAGAACTAGTCAATTTGAAAGAAATACCCAACTCCTTGGCCGTTTTTTGCCTCGCCACCTATGGTGAAGGCGACCCCACCGATAACGCCATGGACTTCTATGAATGGCTTCAAAACGGAGATGCCAATCTCGCCGGACTGAATTATGCTGTAAGTTTTTAACTTTATCTTTGTACTTTTTCCGCCTTTTTTATCCTCTGTATCATGCACAGAGAGAAATTCCAAAACAAAAGTTTGCTTCATACGGGAAGTAAAATACAAAATAACTCAAAAGCCTTCGGTTGACAGTTTCAAGGGATAATGCCAGGTAGGTTTTTTTGAAAAATATTAATGAAAAAAAAGTTGTGAATATCAATGTCGCAATCGGAGGAATGAATTTTCGCAGTCGATCCATTGTTTTTTGCGCTAAATTTACCGCAAACTGTACCAAAATCAACTCGAAATTTGTGTTTATTTGTGTTTCACTTCCTATATTAACCACAAGAACACAAATATTTTTATCGGTGCGCACGCTTGTATCGCGACTCTGTTTTTAATTTTTTAGAAGTTTGCGCGGTTTTTCGGGGTCTCGAAACATTAATTCATGCGAGCACTCATTTCTTAAGGTGTCCCGTAATCTTCTGAGGTCCCCGTATAATTTTTCGGAATTTATTCGGAAAACTCGACGACAAATCTTTGCAAGAACTAAAATATCCTCAAAAAGCTTTCAATTGTAGTAGAATGGCTCTCCATATTTTGGGGATGAATTCTAAGATTTGAATATGCAGGTTTTAGGGCAGTGTTTCGCCACTTAGACGATTGGAACAATACGTTGATTAATTTAATTACTCGAAAACACTTCATAAAGACATATGGAAAGATCCCAAACCCCATAACGTCACTTATTATACGTCACTCTATATCATCATGCAAACTTAAAATGTGCAATAGTTTTAAATAGCTATGAAACGACTGCTCAAGTGCGATTTTTGCCTGTCAAAACCTGAGAGGATTTCCTGCTTTACAGTACTTACCAAGTCCGTCATATCTATAACTTTATTATCAAGTTTTACACAATGATACTTGACGCACTGTGGAATGTTTGAACGCCGTGTTTATTATTTATAAAAATGTTTTTACATTTTGACGTTATTTTTATATGACGTTGGTGACGAACTACAGCTGCGAAATTTGTAGATTCAACCCAAGCAGCCTCACTTCTCATAGTGTGATTGGGTCGTCGTTTCTCTGAGTTTTTGACGATTATCCTCTCTTTTTTATCATCATTATCGCTCGCTCCTTTCAATCTTTTTTATCATCATTAAGACTCGCTCCTTTCAACAAAGTTATTAACAAAAAATATAACAAATATACGATTAAAAAAATCTGTGAAAAGAATTGGGCACATTTTCGCTCTGAGAAATTTCCCGAGTAAATCTCCAAAGAAAAATAAGAAAAACCATCAAACCAACGAAAATTTTCTATCTGACTAATGCACTCTTGCCGAGAACGTCAGTGCAACGCGGACTTACCCAATCGGTCCGGTTACTGTCAGTCTAAATTCCACATCTGATTAATCCCTCGGGAATGCATCGGACCATGATTCACAGCCATTCGCAGACTTTTCCATTCACCTAAGTAGAGCTTGCTACCGACATCCCATATATAAGGCAAAAGCATGCGAGATTACTGCAAAACCGTGTCGATATTGAGCATACCAACTTCAAAATCTCCAATTTTGTAATAAATATTTCCAAATTTCAAAAAGGAAATACCACATGCCTCTTAGTTCTCTGTTTAAAAAAATGAAACATGCTAGGAGATTACTCGACTCGAGAGATGGTCTGGTCAAGTGAGGTGGACTCTAGTTAAATCCGTCCAATTGCATCGTCGAGTTCCCCTGAATACCCTATGAACTCTCTCGTCGTTTCCAAAACGAAAGAATGTAACTGCATTTCAGCGTTGCAAAATTGCCTTTCGCCTGTTGTAATTTTAACCTGAATTTCTGGGGCATTTCTGATCGTTGATTTCACTGATTTTCTTCCTAATTTTCCTAAAATACAGCAAAATTTCGGATAGAAATTGTTCAGTCCGATTTCTGTAAACAATCGGAACGCACGAGTCATTCTTGTAATTTGGCCGTTCCCTCGTCTCTGGAACGCTGAACTCTTCCTTGCTGAGGACTAACGGCGTATGGACATTCAAGCGTTGCCAAATTTTTTCTCAGTAAATATCGATTTTTTTTTTTTTAAGAAAGGTATGAAGATTTTTCCTTGAAATTTTGTAGACACTAAGTATGAAATTACGAACAAAATTCTCTGAAAAATCGGAAGAAAAATATTTACAAATTTTCCCGAAAATTCGTGATTTTTTAAAGGCAATTTGGCAACGTCTCGAGACTCATACGGCGTTTTGTCTTGTTAGAATGGCAGTGCTGTGCTCTTACTTAACACGGGTGCGTGAGGCTCATCAGTAACCCAGTCACGACGGCCGATCCGAAAGATGAAATGAGCTGGCGACGAAAATCAGAAATCCGAATCAGGGCGAATTTAGCCATGACCGCGCCTTGATCGTGGGCGGCCGATAAACGATTCGTAACGAGGTGTCGAATGATACACCCGCTCAGCATACAATAACAGGCCCGAGTCGAGAGGTTTCTGCCATTTAAATTGAGGTCAATAGAGTGATCGGATGACGATGACACTCACGGCGATTTTCCACTCGAACGCGAAAATCGCGGCGTCTCCGATCCGGTGTCCTCTTCTCGGTGGCGCTTAAAAGTCTCTTGAAAATTGCGAGCCGAGAATTCGATCAGGTATTCGGTGCTGATTTGCTTCGGTTTGTGTGAAAGCAGTGGCCTCGATCGAGATACAATATTAATCTGGTGAAAATGATGCACCGGAAAAAAAAGTCTCTCGGATCTAGAGTCCAGACTCTCAAAAAATTTGACAAGAAAAAATATTTTTCATTCAATCAGATTTTTGCTTGAATCGAAAGGAAATCTTCTTAAATTTAGTCTTGACTCTCGATTGAAGCAAACATTTGATTGAATTAAGAGTATTTTTTTGGGTCAAATTCTTAAGATTCTGGACTATAGATCCAATAGACTTTTTTCCAGTGTGGAAGAACCGGAATAACGCAGTTACTAACTTTTTTTCGTGACCCAGACGACGGAACGTAATTGCACTCCAAGTTTGCTAAAACAACTCCAACACCTGTATTTTCACGAGATGACTGTGCGATTTTAGTCCAAAAATTTTGCTGATTTTTCCGCATAATCGGAGGAAAAATTTCAAATTTTCAGTCGGAGGTTCTCAACAGCCAGTGGCATTATAATTGAGTTTGGTCGGATAGGTTTCAGGACATTTTGTCAACGATTTTTTGTCCGGGCGCCTGTTTAGTCCAGTAATTTACGTCCTCGCGTAAAATAAGAAACAGTGACTTGGTCCAAAGCTTATATTTCAGTCCGTTTGTAAAATTATAATGACGATATCAAATTAGAAAATTGAGAAAGAAAAAGGTGCGTTGTTATGGTAACCCATTTTTTTGTTACTTTCTTCTTTTGATTCATTTTTCAAATTTCCATTGGTGAATATTTGGTTTTATTTCTATCTATAAAATTGTCGATTTAAAATATACCGTTTATATATACCTTTTTTTAAATGATAATATTACTTCATTTTAAAAACATTATATTTTTAAAACGTGGCAAATATTTGTAAAACCCTTTCCAAGCGATGGCATCGATATTAATCTCAATGAGCCGTACTTGTGTTGAAAGGAACTATACAAAAATGAAAAAGAGAGAGAAAAAACCAAGGAGGACGCAATCTTTGGTTTTAACCCACTTTTACATCGATCTTTTACAGTCAAACGCGTCCAATTTTGAGCGTTTGGTTGCGAATACACCACGCTGCAGCACCATAAAAGCACAAAATGTGAAAGAAAAATTAAGAAGCTTTGGAAATCATTAAATTAGACACGGAACCACCTTAATATTTTCAAAACACAGTTATATTTTCCTTTAATACAAATTTTTTTCTCATAAATTTAAATGAGAATAATCCGTGCAGAGCGTGCAAACATTTAAAAACAGAGTTGAAAAACGCCGGCTCCGCGAGTTTAAATATTAGAGCCTACCACAGAGCGAAAAGCGCTTTGGCGCCTACAAACCTAACGGGATACTTCACGCGTTGCGCAATGCGTGAAGTATCCCTGTTAGGTTTGTAGGCGTCCATGCGCGTGTCATGCTGCCGCTGGTCGCGGGGCGGAGTGCTACGGCGCGGCGTTTCAAGCAACTATTTCGCGACATAGGAGTTGTCCTGTTGCACCGAAGAGGTGTAGAGAGTTTTAATGAATTTTCTCTCATAGAATTGACGCCAAAATTCTCAATTATATATTTGTTTCCGTTTGGCCAACCAAACAAACGAAAAGCGAGCAAACCCTCATTCTTCCAAGACATTATACATTTCATCCAAAAAAGTCGTGAGCAAATGTTTTTTGTGTTTACATGTTGACCAATTAACTTTGGGTCTCAATAATTGGTAAATGGACCAAAACTCCCCTGCCGAAAAAACGCGTGGACTTTAACTACTGGAGAAAACAAGTGCTAGGACAAAAAATGGTCGACGAAATGTCCTAAACCGTCGGATAGGCAACTAAACTAACTGCATGGCAAAGCGTGAAGTATCACCAAAAACGAAGGCGCTCCAATCCGATAGCGTGCTCTTGAAGTTTTGAAGCACTGAAACCCTCGTCATGCGAATGCGATTATTCCGACTGCTGCTAATTGCTTGCGACACTTGTGTACAGTGTATGCGCCTGAAGGCTCTTACGGCGTTTTTCCTCGGCACGGTAGCCTGATATTTTCCTCCTACTCCCTCCGCATTTTTCCTGTTCTTCCGAAGTTTCACAGCCGAGTATTTTCCGCCAGGCGCGGCTTGTCTTCATAATTCATCGTTGTAATATTCGAACCGCAAGTTTTACGTCTACGCCCGGATTCTGTGTTTAATTGAGCTCCTCGTTACAACAGTCTTGTATCGTGCGTAACACCGCTCGACGCACCTCAACCTCAATGTTGCCAAATCGTCCCGTTTTTTTTATTCATAGACATTTCCCATGCTGCCGTGCTAAGGAAAAACGCCGTATGAACATTCGAGAGTTGCCAAAAT